ATGTCTTCAACGTTGAGAGAGACAACATACTTTGAATAGTAACTCTTTCTCTGTCTATCATTTACCCCACTACTTCGCTAGACAAAGATGAGGCTACTATTCAACACAAGCTGTTTCTCTCTCAACGTTGAAGACATTTTCTTAACATGGCAAAGGTAGGGAACGCGCAGTCTATATATTATACGTCTATGGCCTCACTTCGTTATTTTCGTTGCTAAGATACTGCGCATGCGNAATATCTTCGTTACTTGTAAGTTCAAAATCTGTTGCATACAGAACATGTAAAGGTACTATTATATTTGTCGAACGACAAATTTTTCACACATATGATTGATTATAAAATAGAGAAGTTCTGAAGATTTAAGAATTTCTTTATTTTATAGTCAATTAACACGCTTGAAAAATTTGTCACGTACGATAAATAATAGTACTCTAAGCTTGTTGCACATAGAACATGTTGACGCGTGGCAATAGGCGACGCCATCCAATCAACTTATAGCTTTTCTGTAAGAGCTAAAGTTTGATTAGTGAGNTAAAGCATCACTACTGAATGCACGTTGCGCGTGAGTGCAAAAGGGTCAAAAGTTCATGTACTACTTGTGACATTTCTTGTCACAAAATANTATTACTGATTACATTTTCCTGATTTGTACAAATATGTCATCTGATATTACCAATCTTTCAATTTCGGAAAACATATTCTTGCATATAAGTAACATGACAAATATGTTATTACATATACATCCAGTAGGTATTTAATGGACATCCAGTAGATATCTGATGGACACCTGGAGGATATTTAATGGACATCCAGAGCACTGCTAATAAATGTCCAGTGGATGTTGGACATGTAATATTTATATGTATATATTAAATATGTACAAATATTTAATAAATTAGATATATTGAAGATACTTAAAAACAAATGTTTCTATAAACTTATCCATGTTCTAAACATATCTTGGATATCGATGTACAGTATTTAATTATAGAATGTTTATAGAAATTTATAAACAAAATATATAGTATGATGTAAATTAAATTTATATACCTAAAAGCAACCATGTTTGTACATTACATTTTTGTATAAATAATTATATAAAAATTCAAAATGTCCTATAAATCTCCTACAATGTCCTGGACATATTTAGGATCCTGAGGATGTTTTGTGCTATCTGGGTATGTTATTTCTATGTTATATAGTTGATATATTCTGTGTTTGCTGGGATAGAATGACGCTCATGTGCACACGAATGGTGTTTCCAAACACAGTCTTGACAGTGTCTACCAAAGACACATAACTTTGCAGATCTTTCGAAAAATGTTTAAAAAACGATACAAAAATGAACTAATTTAATTCAAGAAAAATGAAGATAAAGAAGTAAAAATATATATAAATAAGCGTCAATAAAAAAAATGCAAATAACGCGAAATCCACATCTCTCAATTTTGTCGCTTCTAATCTTTTTCACGGACAAAAGTTGACGTTGAAGAGTTTAGCGAGAAAAATCATCACGTGACTTTTTTTGTCGCTCGAACGATCAGTTTCAGCGACATGTGAAAATGCACCTTAAACGTCAACAAAACGCAAAATCCATCTCTCAATTTTGTCACTTCTAATCTTTTTCATGTACAAAAGTTTACGTTAAATAGTTCAGCGAGAAAAATCATCACATGATTTTTTTTGTCGCTCGAATAATCAGTTTTAGCGGCACGTGAAAATGCATCTTTAATTCTGCACATTCGTCGACTGCAGATTTTATTTAGAAATCGATTGGTTTATTCTACATTTCAAAAACAGATTATTCAGAACGAATGCTTAAATTATATTTATTATATGTAACAATATATTTATATGTATATTTATTATATACATATATTTATATGTATTATTTATTATATACGTATAATAATTGAAAGACTTAATAAAAAAAATGTAAACAGCATATATGACACTATTTGCATATCGAGATTATCTTCGTTTTTCCGCAAATTACAGCGGTAAAAATTTTAACAGAACGATACAAAAATAACAAAATAGTTTTGATTGGTCGCCCTGGTTTCCGTGTACTCCGTTCCGCTATGGATTTCCGCTCAATGGGACGCCGCCCTAAGGAGTCTCAGACGTTTGAGAGATAGAAAGACACGGTCGTGAGCATCTATCTTTTTCTAAAGTTTGACCCACTTTCTTTCTCACGCGCAATCTCTTATATGTGGTCAGCGGACGGTCGCCAATCGTCAATCAGTACTGTGCATGCAATAATAAATTGTCAGTCATCGTTATTACTACGCGGCCATCGTATGATCTGGCTGGGTTATCATCGATAGCGATTAGTACACAACTTAGGAGTTACGTATTTTGCTGAACGATTTCGTAACTTTTTCTTGTAGTCAAAAGTAAGCAAGTCAAAAGGTAGTGCAGCGGTATTATCAGTATCGGTGTAGTATCAAAGAGTTGACAATCGTCGTCGTCGTTGTCCAGATACGTTTTGTCGAACTATTTGTTTTATCAGTTTTATTTTGAACGGGATATCGCGCGGCAAACATTGAGAAGACATTATCCTGATAAAAACACCGGACATTTTTCAACAAAAACAAGAAGCTCGTACACTGCAACATTCTCAGGAAGCAAGATGACAACGGAGGAAAAGTTCAACGCTGCCGTCAACGTTATTAGGAACCTACCGAAAAATGGTAATCTTGAGTATTATTGCAAAGAAAGCGAGTAGCATCATCGCAATCGTTATTTCAACGTAGCGCTTCGGGAACATGGTTTTTTTGTGCGAGCACTCGACTGATAGTATTGCTTGAACTTTTACTCATGAGTTACAAGTATCTCTTGCGTTCACTCTTGTTTGACACGCGTGAACAACGGATACTGCAGCGATATCGCGATCGCTTTACTTTCTCTCGAACCTTTGGTTTCCTCTTGCTTCTTTCCCTTTAAAAGAAAAGTATATGTATATGTTTTGTATGTGTTGCGCGCTGGCTAAAGTCCACCGCCTGACGTTTATCAAGTCACACACTTGAAAAGTTTATATGCTTATTCATGACCGCATAAAAGAAAAAGAGAGAGAGAGAGAGAGAGAGAGAGAGAGAGAGAGAGAGAGAGAGAGAGAGAGAAAGAGA